CTCTAGCATAGTTGTCTTCTACTCAGTTTTGATAAGAGCCTCACTAATAGACTTGGGTAAAGACATAGAGTCAAGAGAAGAAAGGAAGGCTTGTTAGGAGGGAGATAACCCAATATAAGAAAGATGATACTGATATGAGATACAATAGGCTATAGATTTCTCTTCCCCTTTTGGAATACAATAGGAAGTTCTAAGTCATTTGCATTGGTGTTAGGAACAGGAGTGGTAGTATTAACAGAAACTAAAACATTAGATGGAGCAATTGATATACCTAGGTCTATGTTAGTCGAACTTGGAATCTCAAATGAACTAATGGGAAGTGGCATAGGTTCCTCTGTTGTAGAATCAACCTCCTTGTGTTGTCGTAGGCACTATCATGTAAAAAATTGAGAAGCAAGACATAATGGATCAAGAAAAGTAGGTGGAATAGGTGGGTCAAACACTAGAGTAAGCAAAGGAGCTAGAACAAGAAGTGGTGTGGGTTGCTTATTTTCTTCGATAAAACACTCCCCCTAAGAAAGACACTATAAAAAGAAAGGTGTGAACTCAAAAAAATGACTCCATGGTGACATACCGGCTCCCTAACACTGTATCATAATAACAATACCCCTTTTAACTTCCTACACACCAAGGATATAGACAAAACATACACCCCTGAACACCCTGAATGGAACATGAATCATCTCCCCCTTAGGAAAAAGAAGGCAAAATGGAGTAGTGTATCCAAGAACATAAGAGGGTACCTAATTAAGTAAGAAGACTACTATGAGAACTGCATAACCCCAAAATGGAAATGGGACTATGGAGTTACCGTCATACTTCTTGCCACTTCCATAATATGTTTGTTCTTTCTTTATACTACTCCATTTTCTTATGGACTATATGTACAGCTGCTATGATGGACTACTCCATGCTTTAATAAATATGATGCCAAGTTTTTCTCAAAGTATTCCCTAGCATTATCTAATCTGAACACCTTCACCCACACTCTAAACTACGTTAACATCATTTAATGGAATTGTTGTACCAAAGAAGGTACCTCATTACAAGATCTCATCAAGTATACCCAAGAATGCCATGAATAGTCATCCACAAATAGAAGAAAATAATGGTAGCCACCCACAGAAGGAACATGATTTGGTCCCCAAGCATCAGCATGAATAATGTCAATAACTAAAGAACATCTTTTATTACTTACCTTAAATGAATGTCTACAATGCTTTCCAAGTTGATAACCCTCACACCTCAAACTGGACAACTTAACAGATTCACAGTTTTGGAAACAAAAAAAACACAAAGACCCAAAAGACAAATTCCCTAACGAATTATGCCAAAGCATAATCTAACCCATTAACTCGGACCCATTGCTCTTACTACTAACATGATGGATCTGATGACTAGGAAGAACATCAATAAGGTAGACTCTATTCACCTCATGACCACTCCCAATTGTCCTCTTTGACTCCAAATTCTATAAAGCACAATGGCTAGGAGAAAAAATTACTAAACGATTCAATTTTTTGTCAAATTGCTCAAGAACAAAAAGCTAGTATTCAATCTAGGAACACGAAGTACAGAAGGTAAGGTAATAGTATCAGTTATAGCAATGGAAATGGGGTAGGGCCGAGCCGGGTTTTGCCTGCCCCGTACCCGACCTCGAATTCAAATTCTTTGCCCCATACCCACCCCAAACCCCGATGGGATAAAAATCCTAACTCCATCATAGTCCCTACGGGGAACGAGGATCCTTGACTTTGCCCCGCCTGCCTGGCAATTCTTACTTGTATACATATTAATTTTTTTTTAAATCTACCTAGAACTATTTTATATTATGTAATATAATATAGTACAATATAATATATAATACAAATATATAATACAATATAATATAATATAATATAATATAAATATATGTTAGCATATATTAATAATTATATATATATATTATGTTATATAATATAGTCGAGGCAGGGTTAGGGTTGGGGTTGGGGCAGGGTGGACAAATACCATCCCCGCCCCATCTCTGACCCTAAAGTTTTGGGTTTTCCCCAAACCCCGATTAGTGGTCAAAAAAACCGGTGGGGCCCCATGGGTACGGGTCAAATTGCCATCTCTAATCAGTTATTTTGATAGACCCCTTCCCAACAATGAGAACATGGCAGCCAATAGTTGTAGAGACCCTATCTCTACTAGAATAGAGGTGTTATGAGGAGAAGATGGTGGAAATATTGGTCATATGTTCTAAGGCTCCTTAGTCTATAATTTAGGGAGGTCCCCTATACTTGTAGTGGAGGCATAATTTGTAGTGCCATATGAACTACCTATATGTGCAAATGAAGTAAAATGACTAGCTTTTAGGCTACTTGCACCTTGTTGTACACCCTGTGAAGAGATAAAACTAGTTGTATACCACTGATTTAGAAACAGACCATATCTCTCCGATTCAGCCCTAACTACAACTGTTGCAACTAACTCTAAAGAAGCTATAATAGGTGGTCCAAATAAATCACCAATCATTGCCATATTAGCATTCCCTTTCTTGTTTTTGAGCTAACTTGGTACAAGGTGTGGATGAAGCTTCCAACAGGTATCTCTAATATGCTTAGGCTTCTTACAATAGTCACAAATCAAGTCCTTCTTGTCCTCCTTCCTAGCATCATACCACCTTTTCCCCACCTGGCTTAGGTTTCACTATACTGACCATAGCCGACTGCTCAAGTTTATGTTTTCTCATTATCACATTCCTCTTTCTCTCTTTTCTAGACACCAAGGCATAAGCCTGGGAAAGAGTTACACTATTATGAAAGAGAACATATTGTCATGCAATGCCATACTCTAAGTTGAGTCCTGCCAGAAATTCAAACACTTTATTCTTCTCTACCAACTTTTGATATGTGGTTGCATCTTTGTTATTCTCCCAAACCATAGTCTCCAAATGATCTATCTCCTTCCATAAGGTTTTGGGGGCTAAACAATAAAGTGCAATAGATTTATCTCCCTGCCTAGTAGCAATTACCTAATTCCTTAACTAATAGGCCCTAACAACATTCTCACACTATGAGTAAGTCTCTACAATTCCATTCCAAATCTCCTTAACTGTGTTAGCCCATAAAAAGTTTTTGTTTATATGGGTAACATAAAATTGCACAACCAGGTCATCGCCATGTAATTCTCATATACCCACTAGGAAGAGTTATTCTTAGGCTTCTTTTCTTCACCAATGACATACCCTAATTTTTCTCGAGCACTAATAGTTATTTTTGTTGATTGGAACCACTCCAAGTAGTTTGTACCATCCAACTTAATTATAATTATGGTTCCTACCCCAAAAGGGTCACTAGGACCTACTCCACCTAGTCCTTTTAGCTGTGGTCTTGTATTCAACTCCACTACCCTCCATAATTCCCAAAATAACTTTGGAAAGCAACTGTAGATAAGGAAAAATAGATTTACCCCCTTTAGAGGCCTCAACCACCCTTATGATACTCAAAAACCTTGCCCACAAAGATTCCTTTCTCTGTATGAGCAAGTAGTATGTGGAGAAAAGGTTGTTACTCCCCTCAAAGACCTAAAAAACTCTAGAATTTAAGCCGTCATCTTTAGAAATTACAAATAAATCCAAAAGATCTAGAGTGCCCTTCCTAGGTCAAAAATTAAAGATTCCCACTACAATTAGGACTCTTCCTCATTCTCCTACTCTTCTGATTTTGATGATCAACCCAAGATCTGATACAAAGGGTTCTAGATCAACCAAAAAAATCCAAGAATTGGGCACTTATGAAGTCTTCAATCAGCTCTCTAACTCACCATGTAGTTAGCTGATCTAGGGTTACATAATGGAATACTTAAAAAATTCCAAAAAAAAACTGCAATGATACCAAGTAGAAAAGAAAAAAACAATAATATGATTCGATAACAATGAGAAAGAAGAGAGAAAGAGAGAGACTTTAGTGAGAAGAAAAGAAAAGAAAGAGAAGAAGAGATGAGGAGAAACTAATAATGATTTGTCCACCCTACTCATTATCTTATATACTCATACAAAAGATTAATTACAAAGACTAAAATACCCTTAATGGGGTGGTTGTGGTTATTGTTCATAACACAAAAACAACTCAAAAAAACAACATTTACTAATGTGCCTTGGGCCCAATAACACTGACTAATGATTATAAACAATAAAAACATAAGAAACTACTTAATTTCAACATCATAAACATTTAAAACTTCAATTTTGGCATCACCTGGTCATTTAGGCTATATGTGATGTATTAGACCAAACATGGACCAAGGAAAACCAATACCAAAGGTCATTTGTTAGATAGATGATCTGGATTGGCACATCAATCACTCCATGTAGCTAAAATAAGGTCATCTAGTAAAAACTTAAAAGTAATGCAATTATAAATCCCATCAGGTGGATATATGGCATACTTTAGGCTTGAATATGCAATTGTCTTCCCTAGACTAATGCTATCTTTTACTTCAGTGGTTATCTCCAAGGAACTTAATTGACATGCTCCTATAATGGAAAGGCACAGGGCTAGGCACAAAGGGAAAGATCAAAGACCTACTAAAAGGCCATAATCTATCCAGTCATGTGGTGTGGGAGGAAAGGGAGAAAAGAACCTTTGAGCCAAATGAGCCTTCTTTCAAGGCCCTAAGAGGATGTGTGCCTATTTTCCCTTCTTAGCTGCTGGCCACGGATGAGTTTAAGGGGGTTTAAATAGATGACATCCAAAGAAACTCACTACTAATCAAGAGGAAATAAGACACATCCAAATAATTGTTTGAATATTATCATTTATATCATATGCTAATCAAGAGAAAGTTGGCCTAGTAGTAATATACCAAATTGTTGTTTGAATATTCTCCTTTGTTTAAAATATTTCATCTCCTATATATATATATATATATATATATATTCTGGTTTATCTCGAGTGTTCCTTGATTGACCATTTGGAGTGGACAAACCTTAAACCAAACAACTATCTGATTTTCAGGTTATCCAAGAAAGGGATGAATAAATCTGATGCATACAAGTACTTTGTTTTGCAAGTACAGAAGATAGCTTTGTCCCATGGATATGAAGTTATTAATTGGTAAAATGTCTAGACTCTGAAGTTTTCCAAATCTTATTTGTGATATGTGTGTATAGCATCTTAATTATGCACTCATAAGATGAACAGGGAGGAGACCTTCAACAACTTTGGAAAGCAATTAAGCCCGAAGACAGTAGTGCAAAATTGGTATGCCTTTCTTCACATCTTCCCTGAGGCATCTATAGTTCAAAAGGCACTATATATACCCCCATTTCTCAAAATGTTGCCTAATCATTCATCATTGCTTTTCTTATAGTTGTTAATGATATTATTTACTGGGAGAAAATGGTCACTACTGTTCATGACTATAGGATAAATTAGTATAAGAAAGAGGTTTGGACCTCTGAGGAGTATCTGAAGACACTGCCATAACATTATTTGCCCCCACTTTAGTCCGAGTTTAATGAGATTAAGTCTCAACAATAGGGTATAAGAGAAATCTTCCATCAATATTTATACAATTGTTTGCTTTAACTATAGATTCAAAAAACCAATTCTATTCCATTGGGTGTCAACTTCTAATCCATGTGGAGTTATCATTTTTATGTCTTGGTTGATTTTAGGCAATCTGAACCTTGTTATGCCATATATAGCTTCTCCATTTTATTGTGATCATTATAGTTGCTTTTCCAATTTAATGTAAATATTAGAAGTAACCTCTTATTTTCAAAAGAAAAGTAGTATATTGTAAGAGGATTTTGGTAAACTGGGTTTGATGTCCTTTGCATGATGCCTTTGCAGGCTTGACAATAGTGTTCCTGAGAAAGTGGTTGCAGCTGGGCTGAGATGCATTATCAGCAACCAGGACAAATGGTATTTGGATCACATGGACCAAAGTTGGAGGGATTTTTACACGAATGAACCACTCTCTAACATAACAGACCCTACTCAGAAAAAATTGGTTATTGGAGGTGAAGTATGCATGTGGGGAGAGTATGTTGATGGGTCAGATATTCAGCAAACTATCTGGCCTCGTGCTGCAGCAGCTGCAGGTAGCTTTTATTTTCTAATCTTGTATTCCTTGAGAGGAAAATCAATCTTTTTTTAAACCACAAAATCTATTCCCAATGGAGAGGCATCCATCATAACTTTATTAATAATATGAAAAAATAGCCTAAGAGGGGGGACATAGAAACCTTACCCCTCGAAAGAACATATACACCAAAGATTTCAACTCATAAAAATACAATAAGCATAATCTAGAGTCTAAGATAAGAAAGAAGAAAAAAAAATTAACCATGACAAAAAAAAGGACATCATAACCTGTCCTATTGGAGGCACTAAAGCATGGAGACAAACAGGCAACCATGGAATCAAAAGAAGCCATGCAGTGACTATCACATCCTAAGTTGGCAAGAGAATCAGGAACCTAATTACCTTTCAACAAAGTGTGTTTTAATTCGAAAGTTATAATACCAAATATCTCCTCCATTCTAGACCACCAATACCAAAGAGATGGATGCAAATCTTCAGAATGATTCATCAAATTAATCAGGACAATGGAATCAGAGAAGATAATTACCCAATTCAAACCAAGAGATCTAACAAGGTTGAGGTCATCCCAAAGAGCATAAGCTTCTGCCACTAAGTTGTTAAAAAACCCATAGCAGTGAGCTAAAGTTACCCCTGTCATCTGAGTATCAAGAAAACTCATCATCTAAGTATTGTTTATACAAATATCAAGACATATAGCAATCACATAGGGAGTAGAACTCTGCATCTATTGATGGGTCATTGAAAGGAGTTATCCTGCTCCTGCCTTAAAGTAGACCTAATTGGATGATTGTAATGATCTGCATAATTGAAATTTTTGGCTTATTATATACTACATGGCAAATGCAAAGGAAATCCCATGGATAGGATGGTTAAAATGACCAAACCATGTTAGTTGTGGCAAATGAGATTTTAGGAAGATCCACCAATGGTGGTTTGAAAAACATGTATACCTTCATGCTTTTGTGTTATAATAAGGTTGTCCTTAAGATTTACTAGTTCATGTATCTTAATTGCCTTGTCATCATCATCAACTAAGCCTTGTTCCAACCATTTGGTCAGCTACATGAATCCCATTTCTCCATCAATCACTAGATAATGGACAATTAAATCAATTATTATTACTTCCACCCAATTCCTTTTCAGTCTGCCCCATCTCTTCTAGCTCCTCCAGTTTGTCACATATCACTTTTTTCTAACAGGTATTGTAGATGATGTTAGGAACCTACCTATAACTTAGGGCTCTTCGAGGGAACCAACATCCAGAGGAAAGAGAGAGAGAGAGAGAGAGAGAGAGAGAGAGAGGGATTGATTACTAAAATTCTTTGATGCCTTCTCATTTCCTTCTTAATGGTATTTATTTCTTTTACATTCTGGTTGTTACAGCTGATTACGAAACCTCTTGCATTAGATGCTAGTCCACTTGCATTGTTATACTGGTGTAGCCTTTTTGTGTACACTTGGCAAACTACCTTCAGTTGTACAGATCTCCCAATAGATGCTCCTCAACTTGTGATCACATATCCCATTATTTGATTTTTTTTACTTATTTATTTAATATACTAGATTTTTGTTTTCTTTATTATTCAGTATTTCTAAGTTTTTTATCTTTCTTTTTTTTTTCCTTGGTCTTCCCTTTCTCTATACTTATTTCATATACTATTAGAGCAGTTCGGATATTTTATTGTTGGGATCATTGGGATCAGCAACTTCCTTTGGAGGAGTTTATTGGTACTATCAACAATGCCCGTGACTTTGTGAGGGTAAAAGACTAGAAGTAGTTGCACCTTCCAAAGTAGATAGTTGTCTCCACTCATTTTGATGGGGAGATAGTGTGAAGTAGTAGAGATCGAAGAAGAGATTACTCCTCCATATGAAGATTTGTTGGACTAAGAGTTATGGGCTGAATTTTGAGAGTTTTGGACCGAGACTGTATCACCGTTGGAGGCCATGGTATCTAGCTCTGATACCAAGTTAAACTAATAGCACTCAGTAGATTGAGAACTGAATGGTTAGGTGTGTGTTTATGATGGACTGAACCCTATATATTTATAATGAATAATCAAAGTCGAGTTGCAATAAAACACTTAGGTGTTTAAGATAGATTACTGCACTAAGAGATAAGATATAAGAGATAGAGAAGGATTAGGAGATAGAGATGAGGAGATGGATTAGGATTCTGAGTAAATATCCAAACTGCTCTAATATATACAATATAATTTATTAGAAATCAAATAAAAGGAAGAGAAAATGCAAAACATTACCAATTACCACTCCTAGTTTTTTTTTTTTTGAGTAAAATAGTAGGAGATTGGCATGAAGTAGTAAATCTTTTTTGGTTAATTAGTAATTCTACAGAAACCAAGCCAGTTTTTATGCCTTCTTTTAGTCCTGAAGACAGTGTCATGGGAAACCTTAAGAAATACCTTGCTAACCAGCTATGATTTTATGAGGATCACCCTTAAAATGAAGGCAGTTAGTGAAAGTACTAGTTCCTATAATTTTTAGCAGCATATTCTAACTAGGGCATTCTCTAGGGAAACTCTTTTCGTTTATGTTAGTTCTTAAAACTAGTGCAAGTTGAAGGCTCTAGAAAAGATGGTGAAAAATAACTTGCATTTAGGAGTGAGAACTCATTCATTTGGAAAGAAACTCTCGTTCTGAATAGGGTGAGATTTAGACAGTCAACATGGTACCTACAATTATTTCTATGAGGTCCTATGTACTATGGGATATGATTTTTCTTGTTATAGTTGGTTTAAGTGGTGAGTAATTTCCATGCCCTAGAGTGATCCTAGGTCCTTCATTTATTAGTTTCAATCTCTCTCTCTCTCTCTCTCTCTCTCTCTTTTCTTTCTCTTCTTACTCTTTAAATCTACAAGCAATATTACAACAACATCAACCCATAAATTCTTCAAATAAGCTTGTTCCTAAAGCTTTGTTTATTTGCAATGTAAATCTGGACTGAATACAAATTTTGCACCGGTTTAGGTTTTCATCCATTTGTTTGTAATTATGATTTGCACTCCTATCTTTTACAAAGTTTGTATCTTCATCTCAAAAACTATGCACCACCTTCTTCCTACCTCAATTCTCTCTCATGTAAGTTTAGAACCACATTTTCCTGCTTCCTAGCTACCTCACTCCCAAACAAATATCCTCCATTTTCTTTAATGTAAGGTAGGAGCCACACCATTTTACTTCTCACAAACAAACAAGACAAAGTCAAATATGAAGCAAAAGTGAACCAGAACTTACACCTAACCTGTTTGCACTCCCATGCATTTACACCAGTGCAAATGAAATTCACACTACATACAAACTGAACCTAGAAGATTGAAACTAATCCAAACACATTTTCTTTGAGTTTATAATGTCAAAAATTGAAAATTTTCCATTTTATTACTTACTATTCTTTTGTGCTAAAGTGTTGGTTGCTCTCCTATAATGTCCCCTATATTTTCATCACCTTTATTGTGTAGGAGTAAACAAGTCAACGCTATATGATTTTACTATTCATTACATATTTTTATTATTTATAGAAGGGTGTTTTTATCAACTTAGATATTACTATGTATCCAGCCTTAGAATTTGATTTGCCCATCTATCGTTCGGGTGTGATTTAAGATTCAAAGTCATTGCATAAATAGCATAAGCGTTATAAGAGTTATTGAGTTTTCTTATGCTAGTGGCAATTTTGTAATTTATGTGTTCCCTAGCTCTAGTAGGATTGACCAACACTAGTAAAAACATGGATGAAGGAATTAATTGATTTTATTTGAGTGTTTATAGCTCATTTTAGGTGTAGGAGAGATTCTTAGGTCCTATACTTATTCTAAGCACCTCATTAAGTGGTCCTAGGTTTTCTCTCTCTATTTTCTCATTAATTTTATAAGAAGCTATTAACAGCCATCAATGGTCCCCTAGTTTATTGCAAGTCTTTATTAAAAGTCATCAAAGGATTGAAACCAATTGAGGTATTTTGGGTAAAAGACTTAAACATATATTGTGTTTTCATAAATTGACTTAAACATGACGTAGGTTTTTCAAAATGACTTAAATATACCTTGCGACTTTTTTATCCTTTATTTTCTTTCAAATTTTCAAAATATATCTTGAACTTTTCAAGCTTGTATTGGTGGTGGGCATATTAGTAAAAACACCAAAGCATAACAAGTTCCAACTAGACCTGTTCATGGGTTGGGTGGCCTGATGAGCCGGACCAGCCTGGCCCAGCCCTCGGACGGGCTTGAACACGCAAATGAGCCCGCGGGCTTGACCTCGGGCCAAAAAGCTCGGCCCAGCCCGACCTATAGACTAAACCCAAAAACCCTAATATCCTAACCCTTCCTCATTCATCTCTTTCCACATTTCCTGTTAGTTGAACTGCCTAGTGCCGAACCTCTCTTCTCTTCACATCCTCCTCACACTCTCAAGCAGTCGCAGAACCGGCGAACATTCACTAACGCAACAACTCCGGCAGACTGACAGTGAGTCTTCTCTCTCTCTCTCTCTCTCTCTCTCTCATTCTTCTTCTCACTTCTTCTCTTTCAAATCAGACACCGGCGAGGTGGCGAACACAGGCACCAGTGGCGGCGGCGATGAGTCCTCTCTCTCTCTCTCATTGACATGAATCGACTCCTCTTTTCACTGTCAAAATCGCATCTCACCGCAAACTGAGCACCGGTTGGCGAATCCTTTCTCTCTTTCTCTCTCACACACACACAGGCGCGAACTCAACACCAACGAACACAGTCACCGGTGGTGAGTTCTTTCTTCTGTTAGGTCGGGCTTTGGGCTCGGGCCCAGGCTTCAGGCTTTTATTAGGGTCAGGCTCAGGCCCATGTTATAGGCCCGTTGATCGGGCCGGGCTCGGGCTCGAGCCTAACAAAATCATGTTTATGAAGAGTAAAAGCCCGGCCCAGCCCATGAACATGTCTAGTTCCAAACCCCAACAATAGGATGAGAAGAACATATATATATATATATATATATATTATTAGGGTCGGGCTCGGGCCCATGTTATAGGCCCGTTGGTCGGGCCGAGCTCGGGCTCGGGCCTACCAAAATCATGTTTATGAAGAGTAAAAGCCTGGCCCATGAACAGGTCTAGTTCCAAACCCCAACAATAGGATGAGAAGAACATATATATATATATATATATACATATATATATAAGAGCTCCTTTCATTTGTGAAAAGGCATTCCATTTACACATGATTATTTGTTAGTTAGTTTGCTTGTTTGTTTGGTTATTTATTGAAATGTTTTGTCTGGGTATAGAGAGACTTTGGACTTCCTACGATAAGTTGGCAAAGGATCCGGAGCAAGTTATTGGAAGGTTGGCTCACTTCAGATGTTTGCTGAATCAAAGGGGAATTGCAGCAGCTCCATTGCTTGGATATGGTCGAGCTGTCCCTACTGAACCAGGTTCTTGCTATAAACAGTAGCAACTTGGAGTTCTGAACTACATGTTTGACGTTCTTATCGGCAAACAACCCTTGTAAATCTTATCAATAGCTTGAATAGTGCAATTTCAGCAATATTGCACCGATTTTGTCTAAGATGTAGATGAATCAACATTGTTTCTTTTTTCAAATATCTTGAAAATAAAGAATAATACTCATGAAAGAAGAAAATTTGGCCAAGTTTTGTACAATAATATGAGGTTATTCCATCATCATGGTAGCCAAAATGCTCTTATAATTTTTGAACATGTTTAGGCCAAGGTTCTAAATATAGACACGGGCCTGTGTCAGTGCTTTTTTTATATGTTTTATTTATTTTTTTCAAAACCAGTTCAGAGGGATTGGTTTAAGGCCCAATTACCCTTTGAACCAGTGGCTGACCCGATACAACCCCTATAAGGGCGTATCAAGAAGCCACCAGCATAATACGTATCGGTCGATACATGTCAATACTTTGAACCTTGGTTTAAGCTTATGCTATTTGCATTTTGATTTGGCTTGAATTTATTGTTAAGCTCACATATGATAAAGCCCAACCGGATAAGCCAAGTTGAAGTCCATTGTGTGCACTTGTCTTGTGTGACCCTTGCAAACCGTTACTATGCATGATCACCTTATCTTGTTGTTACTTGTTTGTATGTAATAGGCACTAAACTCTTTGTATAGTAGATTGTAAAAGATTAAAAGTTGTACTTATCCATAACAAAGAACATATATTAAAAACTCTCTCATCCCTAAATGAATCAAGACTGAGAAACTATTCTCTCAACTTTGAGTTCTTTCATGGTAATCAGAATTTTGATACTAAGTTTTATTTTTCATCTACTTTGATTGTAGAAATTGGTTTTATCAATGGCATCTTAAACAAATTTTGGTGCACTGAAAAGAAACTCATTGTGGATCTTCTCAACTATTACTACCCACAACTTCCTTGATCTTCCTAAGTAACAACTATGCAAATCTGATTTCAATGATGATGGATGTGGCAAGAACTGCCTATTGTGGAAGTTTCAAGACTTACCTGTTTTAGGCGGAGTTTGGGAGTGCCTATTTGAAAAGTAAATGCTTATTGAATAAGTGCTTAAATAAGTGTTTATTCTAAATTTCTAATAAGCGCTCATGAGTGCTTGGGTGAAAAAAAAAAAAAAAAACACTTATTTCAAATAGGGGTAGTATAGATATTTTCAAAATAATGTGGCAGGCCAAAACAGGTTAGAAATGAAATAAGCACAAAATTTGGGATTCTCTTCTTGAATAAGCACTAATTCCCAGGAACTAATAAACACTTATTCACAGGAATAAGCATTAATTTGGGTTTATTTTCCAAACACAAATAAGCACTTATTGTTGACATCTCCACCCAAAATAAGTGCTTAGTCGAATAAGTGCTTTTTAAGCACTTCAACTTAGCCTAAGTATTTTAAGGGCAGTCCAATGCACAAGGCTCTTGCCAATGTAGGGATAGATGTACATAGCCTTACCCAAGCACATACAAAGAGATTGTTTCCTGTGTTAGTCTTTTATTAGAAGGTTCTAAATTATTTGGATTTGTCGGGGCACATTGTTTTGGTGATACTTAAATGGTGAACACAGCCTATCTGCAATTGGAGAAGTTGGACCAACTTCTCATTTTTCTTTTCAAAGGCACTAATGCATAACTCCATCAAAAGCAAATACAAACAAGATTCATTGCAGAGGCAAGGTGCTAGTTCCAAGAGCCACTGAGAAGTGAATAGAAGCCTTTGAATGAAGAGAAAATTAGGCAAGATGATGAGCCCTAACATTTGCCTCCCACATGACATTAACAAATTTAACATCAACAAACTTGGCTACAAGGTCCCAGATGTTCTCCAACACAACATGAAAGGGGGAGAAAATTTGTTGAGTAGGTTGAATAATTACATTAACTGCTATAAGAGAATCAGATCTGATAACCAACAAGGTTTTGGTAGAGGCTCCCTTTGGGAACTATCTTTAATGATCACCTCGCATCCTATAGCTCTTGAGAGTCCACTCATCCAACTACTCCAAAAATTTTGCACTCACTATAATATATGAATCTGGATCTCCTACCCACAGGACACTACAATTGTGCATTGGGAGCATCTCCCCATGAATGATAACATGTAAACATAGAAGATGTTCCCAATGTACAATTGTAGTGTCCTATGGGTAGGTATTGGTAGGAGACCCAAGCTCAAATAAAACTAGGGAGGCATATCAGTACACTTGAATATGAGAAAATTAAGAGTGCACCAGAGCTGCCAACAAATAATTGCCACCAATTCTAAATAGAACAAAGGATGGCCCGAAGATAGAGATGAAAAGCATTGAGCCAAACCACACACTTTGAGAATAAGGATAGTGGAGTAAGATATGGTCCACTATTACTTCTTTCACTTGACACCCCAAGAAAGCACTTAAGTCCCCATAACCTCTCTTAACAAGATTTGATCTACTAGCAACTTTATCCAGAATTGTTGATCTAAAGCTTTAGGAACATGCTCAAATCCATTAACCTCTTTGTCCCAAATCGCTTGAGCCACCCGATAGGCACTCTTCACAGTGAACCGACCATCTATACAAGGATTGATCGGGCCAATTTGACCCACCTGAACAACACTGTTCCACTTTGTTGAGAGGCCTTGCATGGCAAGAATAAAGAGATAGGGGAAAGAGGGTTCCTTCCCTCAACCCCAGGGATGGAGTAATATGACCCTTAAGAGATCCACTTATGAGAAATGAGTGAGACATCGAGCAGATTGCCTTCATTGCTTAAGAAATCCACCTTTCATGGAACCCCATTCCCCTTAGAATTCGTTTCAGAAATCTCCACTCCAACTAATCATAGGTTTGTGCATATCGATATTAATGGCTAGATCATACCACTTCCCTTTCTTTTTCTTGTGAAGGTAATGAAAGACTTCATTAGCAAGGAAGGCACTATCAGATATCCTGTGACCCGGATGAAAGCATTATAACAGTAAAAATGTGCGCGCGTTGCACGTGGCAATATCAAATGGTGATGATGATAATAGTAAGCAACCAAATGACCTTACTGGTTGAACCATTAACCTATTTAACCAGGAAAATGGACTATGATTAAGACATTAATTCATTTTTTTTCCTTTGTACTTTAGCCATTTCTATCTTTACTAACAATAATTCTTATTTTTCAAACATATTTTTGTTTAATATGAAGAATATATAATATTATTGCATGTTCAAATTTTTCTATAAAATTTATAAAAAATTCTATATTTTTATTTTTCATTATTTAATTTATGAGATAATAAAAATTACTTATTTACCAAGAGGAAATGCAATTCCAATATATTGTCTGAATATTTTTTTTAATGTTATGGTCAAATCAATTATTTATATATATCATTCATATATAATATATATTATTTATTATTTATTTATAAATATGTTATTTATATTGCATTTTTGTAAGCTTCTTATATGATGGAAATAGTTGAAAAAATACTTATATTTTTTGCTTTTCTTTATTTCAACTATTATATTTTCTTTTTCTTTCAATAATTTATTTTTTAAAATTAAATTAGGTCGTATAAGATTTGGATATCCAACATATTTATCAGATTCGAATTTGAATCAATATTTATGAGATTTGATAAGATCTTTGGATTGAATCGAATTCAAATTCAATCTCATCTATTTGCATCCCTACCAAACCACTTGCCTACAATGACCTAGCTAATTAAATCACTGAACCATTTGACATGGTTAGTCAGGTCATGTGTTAGACATTAATGCCCTTTATTTTGTATCTCATTTCTATCATTAATGAAAATAATTCTTATTAATCACACTTTTTTATATAATAAATATATAATATTATACAATGTATCTAAGATTATCTACAAATTTCTACACTATCTAGAATTTTATATATTTTATTATTTAATAATAACATAATGTGTTGATACATTTGATATGGATAATTGAACCACTAACGCACTACTTGGATGGAAAAACCATTTTTTCTTTTTCAATTGATTTTAAATCATGTTTTACATTTTCATCATCAATAAAAGTAATTCTTATTTCCGCATTTATTTTTGCACGTGGCAGTACCAAATGATGATGATGATAATAATCAGTAACCAAAGGACCTTACTGGTTGAACCACTAACCTATTTAACCAGGAAAATGGACTATGATTAAGACATTAATTCATTTCTCTCTTTGTATTTTAGCCATCTCTATCTTTACAAACAATAAATTCTCATTTTTCAAACATATTTTTGTTTAATATGAAAAATATATAATATTAATGTATGTTCAATTTTTTTATAAAATTAAAAAAAAATCTATATTTTTAATTTTTACTATTTAATTTATGAGATAATAAAAATTACTTATTTACCAAGAAAAAATGTAATTCCAATATATTGTTTGAACATTGGTTTTTAATATTGTGGTCAAATCAATTATTTATATTATAGTATATATTATTTATATTAATATTTATATATATATGTTATTTATTATTTATTTAAAAATATGTTATTTATATTGCATTTTTGTAAGCTTCTTATATGATGGAAATAGTTGAAAAAATACTTATATTTCTTGTTTTTTATTTCAACTATTTTATTTTTCTTTTTCTTTTAATAATTTATTATTTTTTTAAGATATTAAATAGGATCATATCAGATTTGAACTATTATTTCAACTGTTATATTTTTCTTTTAATAATCTATTTCAACTTTTATTTCAATTGTTATATTTCAACTGTTATATCAGATTTTATTTTTCTTGATCGGATTCGGATTCAAATCAATATTTATGAGATATGGTTGAATCCTTAGATAAAATCAGATTTGAATATACCCTAATTCCAATATGATTTGATTTGTTTCCATCCCTACCAAACCACTTACTTACGATGACCTAGCTAATTAGACATTAATGCTCTTTATTTTTTACCCTAATTTTTATCCCATTTCTATCAT